TGAGATCTCACACTCTCTTTAATCAAGGTGTAAGAACTAATATGTCACCTAAGACTGTCGCTGAGTCCTGCAGAAAAGCTGAGGGAAAGCAGAGTTGATATTCTTGATACTTGGAAAGCTAAAACTGAAGAAGGCAGGAAAATATTTGAAGAGCTGCCATAAAGAAAAGGGAAGACACTTTTTCTCTCTTTTGCTGCAGAAAGTAAGATGCAGACTAAATGCCTGAAGTTGTAGCAAAGTAGGTTTAGACTGAATAGGAGGAAAAATTTCACTGTTAGAACAGTGAGGCAGGGGAACAACAGACTGCCTACGGAAGTTGTGGACTCTCCATCCTGGGACATGTTGAAGAAGAGATTGGACAGCTGCTGGTTGGGGATGATATAGGCATAGCTATGCCTATGTTCTGCAATGCCTATGTTCTACTATGGGTACTGCCCACGCTTCTGGGCTTTGCTGGTTGTTGCATGGGGCTGCAGCAAAAACTGGGGATTTTGATTGGGGTGTCCCATTGCTTCTGTTGCAACTTAAAGCTGGAGGTTCCTGGCTAGAGAGTCTTGCGCCTCCACTGAGGATCAGACCGATCGCCATATTTGGGGTCAGGAAGGAATTTCACCCCATGGTCAGGCTGATATGGACTGTGGAGTTTTTTGCTTTCCTCTGTAGCAGGGGGGCATGGCCCTCTACCTGGAATCTCTTGAACATATATTTACAACATTTTACACAAGCAAAAGGTTGGCTGCATGGTTCCCCTGCTTTACAGTGGCAGGTTAGGGTGTTATGGCTTGTGTTGTGTTGGGTCTGATGGTAGTTTTAGTAAGAGGTTAAATTATGGATTTGTATAGGATGGTTTGGATAGGGATGACCCTGCCTCAGGCTGTGGTTTGGACTAGATGACCTATGAAGGTCCCTTCCATCCCTGCTTCTGTGGGTGTTTATAGATGTGCTCTGGCAGGCAGTGGGGGAGCGGTGGGGAGGCGCTTTAATTAGCAGAGCTCTGAGAGCAGTGCTAATTAAAGTGCCCAGAGCGTCACATGTATTAGCATCCCCGTGCTGAAAAATGGCAGCGGGACGTTTTGACCTAAAGCTCATTGAACAAGCTTTAAATGCAATGTTTCAGTGCGAGGAAGATGATACACATGATGCTGGAGTCTGCTGGAGCATGGCAATTACTATGCTCCAGCAAACTCAATTAACTGAGTCTGCTCCAATGCACTGTAATTACAGCGTGTCGGAGCAACCTCCCTGCACGTGTATAGCAGCCTTGTGATTCTATGAAAAGTCTACAACTAAAGAGAAACATTCAAAAACATTTAAGACCTTTATTCAACAGAAAAATAAACAAAAAAAGGTGCACAAACTATCACTCCCTCCCCTCCACTGCCATTTTTTAAATAAACCCTTTAATGGGTCACACATTTTTCACCTCTTAGTGCCTTAACATACAATTTGGAAACATTTCTTTTCAAGTGAAACATCATAAGTTCAACCAATGGCAGGGCTCTTTTGTTCACTTTTAAAAAATCTGCTCTGAGATAACTTGGGGCAAATGTGAGCACAGAAATTCAGGGAGCTTAATCTCTTAAAGGCAGGAGCTAAAGGCTGATGTCTGACCCTCATTAGGAAACTGCCCAACTCAACTTTTTGCAGGGTCTGGTCTCATCCATCCTGCAGCATAGATCTTGGGAAGTGCTGAGATCCATCAACTGTGCTTGTACTCAATGCAAGTAAGCATATGCAGCATTTCACAGCTGAGCACCTTGCAGGATGCGAATACTGGTGTCAAACACCTGCACTTTACCTACTTTATTAGCTTTATGAACTCTCTAATTCCCTTAGCAAATGCACCTCTCTTTCATTTAGTGGCATGTACTCCCCAGCATCTAGGTTAATTAATTGTGGAAATAAAATGCACTCTGGTCTTGTTATTTATCACTGTTAAGTTATTTATCACTATTAAGACCCAAAACAGAGAAAATAGCCCTGATTTTTTTAAATAGTTGCACTCAAGGCTTGAAAGCTACATACTTGGAGGTGTAAGCAGTTACCTTTCATAAAGAAAAAGGCCTTTTTTCTTCTTGAAGCCTCTCACACTGCTACGGAATAATACATGGATGCATTTTCCTGACGTAAGTTTTACTTGACTCTCTAAAATCCAAAAATGTAACATGTTAAGTTCCTCTACAGTTTAAGCTTTTATATATATATATATATAAATAAAAACCTGTGTGCAAAAAGCACAACAAAATATCTTGTATGCGAAATTCTGAAAAGACGCTTAAAAAAACCCCAAACTTTGATACAGTTGAAATTAGCTTCAATGATGCATATATATCTATATCTATCTATATATATATCTATATATGGCTATATATAGATATATATATAGATAGATATAGATATATACAGAGCGAGAGAGATACAAAATATGCATATATAAATACAAATCAACATTTGTATACACTTAAAATACTTTTACTCAATATTGTTTTTTATTTAAAAACATGCTAAAAATGTGTAGTTAAATAACCAAAGCAATGTTCTGGAAAAATGCACAGACAGCCACCAACCAATGCAAGCAAAGAGTGCATTTTTAAACAAGATCAATATCCCCTTCACTAAACAGTTAAAGGACAATTAGTATCTTCTCTGATATATACCAACAAATACAATCTAATGGTTTTTATGGCTGGCTTTTGTCACCTTAAGAACAGTATTACTTTTTCATAGTTTTCAGGACACATGTCCTGTGACATGATTCATAATTCAGCAACAAGGCTAATTGTTTATTTAATTTCTTTTCTGAAGGTTGCCTAATCCAAACTCTGTGATATTGTTTGTGTAATTATCCATCTTAATACTGTGCTTAAAATGTTGAAGGAATTCATAAAAACAAAAAAGGCTTTTCAATATCTATGTTACTATCAGGTCATAAAGTATAATAGAGCATTCTACAAAAATAAGTTTTTAAGAGAAGGCAAAATAGCTTAGTTTGCCACTATGCATTTGGCCTTCAAGTTTACTTGTATAAACACATATTTCATTTATATTTTTTTTTTTTACAAAAACCAACCACAGATTAAAATTTAAGATTCATCAGGTACCACTGTGCGACCTTCAAAGAATTAGCATCATGCCCTTGCTTGTTTTAACACCCTTCTGTGTCTTTGAGAGAGAAAACCATTGTATTTTCACAAGAGAACCCAAAATGACTCTACTATCAATGATAAGAAGTAGAGCTATGAATGGAAAAAAGCCCAAAAATTCAAACTTGTTGGCTTTTCTGAACTTTGGATAAAACCTTTATGCATAGCAGCAAATATGCTTAGTGCCAGTGCTCCCATTCTTGATACAGAAGGTATCAGATGGAACTCCAACACTTATGGTCCCAATTTTTGTTACAATTAAAAGTAAACCCAGCTTTTTCTTTTTTCCCCTCCTTTCTCAAGTCTTTAAAAGGAAATATGAATGAAACCTCAGTTTGCCAGTGGAAGAATAACCATAGGGTATATGCAACCCAACAGCTACTTAGGAGGGACTTGATTTTGTTACCCTGCACTCACCAACATATGCAGGCATTAGAGCCAACAGTTTCAAACACAGGAGCCTCAAGTTAGCAACCTAATACCGCCTTCCAGACATCTAAATATGCCGCTTGATTTTCAGAGTTTCTGAGCTTGTACAGTGTCATTTTGTTCAACAGGTATGAACTAGGTTCAGCCACTCTGAATATCAGTCCATTTACTTAGGTGGCTAACTACTAATGCAAGTGCCTTTCAGTAGACTTCCAAGTTTAAAAACATTGGTTAGATTCTCAAGGACTGATCTCATTTAAACAAGTGTCCCTTTACAGCACTGTGACTGTGTAAGAGACACAGCACTGTGACTGAAGAGAGCCTGAAAGTGAAAAAGGCCCTTTTCCCCCTATTGTAAGTAAGGCCACTTTATGCTACCAGACTATGTGGCTATGCCAGACTGAAAACACTTCATCTTGACTGGTCTTTGAAACCTAAGCAGTCCTAGGCCTGGCTAGTACTTGAATGGTAGACCACATTGGAATCCCAGATGCTGCCGGTACAAGCCAAGGAACTGTGTCTGAACGCTCAGCAAATACTAGACCACAGAAACTGAATGAGTGGAAAAGACTTCATTCAGCCCCACTGTGGCTGCTGAGCCAACAGAGTAATGAAGAGGAAGGACACTGCAGACTGAATGTAAATGAAAATCAGAAATCCAAGGTTTTAAGTACTGCTCTGATAACAGATAGTGAACATCTGTCCATTTCAATAACTGAGCTCAATTGTTAACGAATTTGTTTTTAAATGTGTTTAAAACTGGAGTGCCATGAAATAGCTGAATTTTCATTTTCGTTCATACCTTCGTGAAGCAGCAAAACGTAAGAGAGACCTCTCTCTGCAAAGAACATGAAAAGGTAAGCAGGGGCCAACAAAGAATGAAGCAGCATTAAAACTAGAGAGAGGTATATGTTCAAGTTTTCTAACAGGAATGTCAGTAGAGATGTGTATTGTGATGAGTTCTAAGCTACCACTTGGTAAGCAGGACATGGAAAACCAAAAGATATTTGTCCGTGCTGAATGTGGAAAGACACACACCGGTTTTGAGCACCTATCTATCCAGTAACTGATTTCATAGCAAAATGGTAAGTGAAATCACCCCGTTCCCGTTCCACTGGGACATTCACCAAACCATCCCTCCACTTGACTTTACCTCCATTATTGCTCAAAGTTACCCTGCCAGCTCCGCACGATTGCAACCATTGTCAAGGCAACTCCTTTTGGGAAAGTGAGCAATGATGAATACAATGAGCCTAATTGTGCTCTTCTTATTCATGCAGAAGAACATCTCACACCATTGCCATCCTATCCAGAATCAGTGGGATGACTTGTAAACTGCTACTCAGTGGGCTAGATCTTGAACCCTTCCTTCACCTTTGAAATTCTGATGTCTCTACTCACACTGAACAGTATGATGCCCAAATAGTCATATCAGGGGGAACTACTTAAAGATGTAGGATCAGATCCAGAACAAGACTTTAGTATCTAAACTCCCAATGAAATGATGGCTCTAAACAACATGGGTAAAGGCATCGCAGTCTAGCTTACTCTGAAGGAGGAATTTACCATCTTGCTTAGTGAGAGTAGGAACATCAAAATCTGGTTCTAAAAGGAATCAGCCTCCCGAGGACTACCACCTTCCCAGTAAAGACACAAAGTGGCAGTAGCTCAGTAGCTACAGTTTAAGTTAGCCTAGTTATGGACTTTAGAAGTCATGTTTTTATTTCCACCTTTTAAACTGCTAACTTTAGGAAAAAAAAGACACACCCTTCAAAGATCGCACAATGGTTCCTAGCTTAAAAGATGATAGATGAAAAAAAAGGTAAAAAGTTATAAATCAGGCTACTCAATTCTATACTACCTCCATAATAATAAAAAAGTATACACCGTAAGGTACAAAAAGCTGCAAGCAAGCAGCTCCATTTCCTAAGGAATTCAGTTTGAGTGGCTTTCCCAAGTCTTCCAGTATATCAGATATGAGCAGTTTGAGACTTAGCAGAAGACTTCAAAGAATTCTCTCTAGAAGTTAAGCACACATCTGTCACATTATCTTTGCATGTCTAACACCAATTAGTAGAGCAAAGCATTTTCTTAAATAAAGTTAGGGAAAAAGTTTAATAGCAGATCTATGAATTAGTGTAGAAAACTGATTTGTTTTTTATTATTTTTGTTTTCTTTGGCAATAAATGGCAAATGCATAAACAGACAAAAAAAAAGGTAAGTCAAGTAACAAGTTGTGCTAGTAATCAGTCAAGTAATGATGAAGGATTGATTGATGGGATGACTGCCCTCAGCAGGGCAAAGCTGGATACTCTTTTCAGTTGTTTTGTTTTGTTTTTAATGGCAAGACAGAAGTGTAGATGCAGCTAACGTTTCAAAGGTTTAGGCATCGTATTTTTTACCAGTCCTATGAATTTGTTGGAAGAGTGTCATGGAGAAGGCCATCCCAAGTATCTGAAAAAGAGAAAAAAGGCCATAGGCTCAATGCAATAAATGCCTCCAAAACTGTGCTGCTGATATTCTCTCTGAAGATACTTGGATTTCAGCAGCCTGTGCTAATATAGGTCTCACAGCCAAGATTTTCAAAGTAACTGGTGACTTTGGGTGCCCAACATGAAATACATCAAGGACGTCTAGTATTTAGAAGGCAAGTGATCAGCATGTTCAGAAAATCAAGCCCCTTGGAGGTATCTCAAGCTGGCCATCTAAAAAACACAGATCACCTTTTGTCTTCTTTCCTTAGGCTGTTAAAAGAATATTGCAGAGGGGGTCTCTTTATAGGGATTTCAGAAAGAAAGAATGTACAAGTTTCTAAAATCTTGCTTGTCATACCACCTACTGTGCAGCCACAAAACCACTGTCCTTTAAAAAAAAAATCTTGGACTTGCATAAAAGAACAAGTACAACTGCATAGGACCTGGTGTCTTCTTTCCTCAGGGCACAGAATTTAATGTCTAAAGAATTTACTGGAGAACTGTTCGTTTTCTATAGGGTTTTTGTGTAATAACCTGCAGAACTCAATAGCCATGATAAAATTTCCTTTTAAAAATTCTATAAATTAGTTCCAACAAACCCATAAGTAGAAGATCTATTCTCTACTAAATCCTATTCAACCTTTTCCTAGCAGAGGGATTAAGTAAAATAAATATGTTTCAAGTACATTAATTTCACAAGTGGAAGATTTGAGTTAATTTCTCTGGATTAATTCATGGTTCTTCACTAACACTAAAAAGGGAAGCTCAAATGTCAAAGCACACACAACTAGAATATCACTAGAGCATAGACACTTCTCTGTTCAAAATGAAGGCAGAGTAATTGGTCCTCATTCAGGCAGAGATTCACCATCCAAATTTGGTTTGAAAAATAAGGTATTTGTTAAGCTTCCACAGTAAATCTCATTCT